GGCGATTTCATAATGTTAATAACTTTGAGTGAGGACAGCAAAATAAAAAGGAGGAAAATATGGATGAAGATATTGAAGATTTTTTTCATCTCCCTCTTTGACGTGTTGGCTATGTTTCAAAGGTTAAATTTTCTACAAAATTTTGAAACATTCCTTGTGAATGATTATAACCAAATGCGACAATTTAGTGCCATAGATTTCTAATATCATACAATAAATGATAAATTTTATTAAACGTTGAATTAATACCATTATTGTTAACATTTTAAAATGATTTGATACATCTAAAAATTTACATGTTACTTAACGTTTGAGAATGAATGATTTAAAAAATTATATGTGATTAAAAATGTATGCTAAGCTTCAAAAACCCTTTTCCTGGCATGTCCCCAGCGATCTTTTCAATAATTGCTTCCTTAAAAGTGCATACAAGTCTGTCTGATTTTTTATTTCTTAACTGAAAAAGACCTTTCTGAGCAAGGAATGATTTCCAAAATATTTTTTAAAAAAAAGGTTTTTCAGACAATTATTGGTCTACCAATAAAAAACTTTTGCCCTGGAAGATTAAGAGTGTTTTTGGAAACTCTTTTACAAAGGAAAATAAAAAAAAGTCATAGCTTGGGGTTCTCAAACATTAGAGTTATAATATCAAACACCATAAAATTTAAAAATCCATAGAAAATTACCTAATGTACAATGTGCAAAACAAAAAACAGAGCACCCTGAATAACTTTTGATCTAATGATTGGAATATAACTTACTAGTTTTTAAACTTAATGGTGTGGAGGCCTAATCTTAAAAAATATAATTAATTAGTACAGATGATACTTTAAGTTGCCGGACACGTGCGTATCTTTGTTCTTTTTTTTATTGTGTTTTTTCAAAGATTCTAAAAATATTGGTTATTAAGGAGTAGCCTGCGTATTATTGGAAAATTTCAAAAGCTATTTAAGAAAAATTAGCTTTCAAATTAAAAACCAAACAAAAAATAAATGATAAACAGAAGCATGAATAATTCAAATAGGATATTATAAGTATAAACTAGTAATACTTCACGTTAAATAAATAGATTTAAATAACATCAATAGATTTAAATAACATTAAAAAAAAAGAACTTTAATGCCACAACTGTTCACCTTTTGGGTTACTTAATAATTTATTTGAAGGTTATTTCTTTCATTAATTATTAATGCAGTGTAGTTATTTTTGAAAATTTTGCTCTAAGTTCCTTTCAAATAAACTGAGAAATATTATTTCATTCATATAGATAGGAGTGATATTTTAACATGCATTTTCAAGGATAAATTAGGCAAAAAATCATGGTCGGTTCATTGCTTTGTTCGGGAAAAAAAACAGGCTTCAAAACCTTGTTACCAGGCCATTTCTCTCTGACCTTGACGCTATTTATTATGTCTCACAATATTCAATTATTTTCACTTTTCCGTTTGTAACGCGAATTGTATTGTCCTATTTATCACACGTCAAATTAATTTTATCTCATGTATCTTTTAATACAA